GAGAATTGAGAGAGAGCGAATGGTGAAAGAATTTCGTTCATTTCAAGTTTCTTTCAAAATTTGCCACTTACTTTACTCCATTAACTATTCGAACTAGATTTGTAAGAAAGATCGAATGCGAAAGTCAGTCAGAACTCATTCCAACATTTAATATCCAAGAATCGTTGGAATAAACGTAATAAAGCGACAAAAATAAACTGTATCTCGTTGTAATATCGTTAATACGAGAAACAAGACGGTTATACGACGAGTATATAAGGTCGAGACGTTTATTGGGAAAGTACCGCCATCTATCCGCGAAATTTTGAAATAAACTCGGTCAAAACGCGAGCGACATTCGGCTGTAAACGGAGCGAAGGATAGAAGCAAAATAATTTTATTCGCGTGACCGCACAAATGTGTATCGCGAGTCGCACAAGGTGAGCGGAAATTGAATGAAAATTCTGAATGTACGGCATATATCTGAACAAACTCGGAATAGAATAATTTAATCTAGAATCGGTTTAAAAGTGGAGGAGGAAAAAATTCAATCCTCCCGAAAGGTTGGTTGGTTAATGTCGCTCGTTCATCGAGACGCGGCCAAAAAATGCAAACGAGGAGAGGGGAGAAAGAGAGAGACAGAAAAGGCTCGTTCCAACCGGCGCGGTTCGGCGTGAAATGAATTTACGCGGTAGAGGGGGAGTGAATACCTGAATTTTTGCCTCAGTGTTTCCGCTTTATCCCATTCGCGATTGGGAAGCTGAGAAATAAAGTTTCTCCAAAGAATCCTGGCAAATGGGCCGAAGAAAAGGAAGAAGAAAAAGAAGAAAAGTGAGCAGTTGGTTGTTGGAATCTGGCACAAGGCCGAGAATATTTTCGAGACAATGTGCAATTTTTGTTATTTGTGCGGAATTCGATGTCGAGAGGGAAATTCGTTACACGCTGGCATTTCGAAATGTGAATTTTATTAATTATTTTTGGTAATTAATCATTGTGCTACGGATTTAGTGATATAATTGAATAATGTGGGAACGAAAGTATTTGAATTTTTCGAACTTTTCGAATATTTAATGAATACGTAACGAATCGAAAAGAATGGAGAGAATTTTAAGAGCGCGCGCGATTCTGCAAGTGTCAAGTGTGAGAAATAAGAATGAAATGGAAACGCTTGTAATACTTCGCTTCGAAATAATACCTATATACGCGAATTGTAAATATATATCGATTCCTTCCCAACACATGTGTTTATATAAATATTCGAAACGATCGAATAAATATCATTTACGGTTCGATTCGTTTGGATGGAGAACCATTTTTACGATGTCATGATTCTTCTAGTCTCTATAATAATATCGTTTGGATATTAAGTAACACATCCTATAACTACAGAACATCCTACTTGGTTGGAAAATAAATAAGGAAGAATACAATCCAACGGGAGGAGGATGTCTACGATATTTTTAAATACCGTATAAATATATCCGAAGCGTCTTGTGGAGAAAGAAAGAGATAGGAAGGAGAGACGTATATCGGGTTTCTTTCTCGGGGATCAATGGCTGTGAAGCGAGAGGTGGGACGTGTATCTTGTACGACGCTCGGAGTGAACTCGTCTTAACCACTTCTAGGGCGGAAAGCTTCGAAGCGTAGTCTACGAGCGCACGGTCTAGTAAACTAACGAAAGAGAAGTTTCTACTGTGAAAGTGGTGCTCCACACGCGAATGATTTCGAAGAGGGGAGGATTCGCAAAGAAAAGCTTAGCATTCTTGTCCACGTTTCAACTTTGCTTTCCCCCCATTGATCCACGGGCTTTTCAACGCGCGCGCCTCTCGATTTCCGTTTCTCGAAAAACCTTTGATCGGATTTTCGGGATCAAATATACGATTACGCTCATTCTTTTTCCAGAGGGAAACAAATGGATCCGCCCGGTATTCACGTATTATCCCGAAATCCCGATGTTTATTTAAATTTCACTTTATCCCGTTCCATTGATTCGCTCCTACCTCTACCCAGATCGATTTTATTGCCTCTAAACTTCGCGAGAGAGCGTAACACTATGCCCCAACTTTCACGTTTCCAATTCCATTTTACAATTTGTTATAAATTCAAGAAGGAACGGTTTCGTGTTCTTCTAGCGTTGTTTGTATTCCATTCTTCGTTTTCGAAATATATACGTACGGTAAAGTGTTTTAATAATATCGTAACTGGATATAAGAAAATATTTATGAATAAAATTGTATCGATGAATATCGACGAGTGATGATAATATCGCGAAGGTTTTTACTTGTTTTCGTTAAAAAAAAGTTGTTAACCTAACCTAACCTAACCTAACCTCGTATAACCTAGATCGATTTTATTGGGTGGTTCAAAGTTTGCGAGATCGTAACGTTATGCGCAACTTTCACGCACGTTCCAATTCCACTTTACAGTTCGTTATAACTTCGGTAGAGAGCGCTTCATGTTTTCCTACCATTGTTTATTTCCATTCTTCGAAATTTACGTTACGTGTAGATAATTCGTGCGGTGTTAAATCGGAAAATAATTGTAAATAAAAATATATAAATATCGATAAAGATTAATAAATTAGAGTTGTTTTAAGAAAAAGTATCGGTAAATGTTTACAAAAATGTATTATTCTTCGATCACGATGATTTTTTTAATATTCTCAAATTCGTTATAGTGAACTTTCATTTTCATATTATTATTATTATTATTATTATTATTATTATTATTATTATTATTAATGAATAACGTTGAAAATTTTAATTAACTTTGGTACTTTACTTACTCTTATTTAGTCATTGTTATTGATAAGTTAACCTAACCTAATTTGATATAAAATTAGAAATTAAGCAAATTTTTTTTCGATATTAATTTATTTATATTAATTCTAACGTTCAATTTCATATAAAATCAAAATTAAATAAAAATTTGAATAAAAACCTGATTATTTAATTGAATTAATAATTTGATTGGACTAATTTTCGTAATCAATTATTTGTAATGATAAATCTAATCTAACCTAACCTAATTTAAAGTATTTCGAAGAAAAGATATTTTTGTTAATAATTTTTTAATGGTGAACAATGAAAAGTAAGCAAAGTAATCTTGAAGAGAATATTTAGTAAAATTCAAAGTGTCTTTCGTTGTAAAAAATAAATTACGTATCTTCGAAATTTTGTGTGGAAATAGGAATATCGTATCGACACGATAGAAAAGAAATAAAATAACAAAATATATACGATTGTTTGCGCTTTTCCCCCACTGTATAATTCGAAAGGAACAATTTAAGGATATCAAATGGCACGGAAAGAAAAGGAAAGTCGATCATTCGTGAACAATGGCACTCTATGGATGTTATTTCAGTAGAATAGGAGCAAAACAGGTCGATGTTGGGTAAACCCATTGGTCGCGTTACAGGCTGTTACCCTCGCAAAACTGTTCTCTACTTGTTCTGATTCCCGATTCACCGCCAATGCGTACCTTTGGTTAGTCAGGATTTCCACCACGAACAATAAGTTTTCAAGTTTATTCGAAAAACAGTACGCTCTTAATAATTCCCCAATTATTCCCCTTGTATCTGGAAATTATTATAAATTAATAAAACTCGCATAAATAATTCACGGAAATAATATGAATAATAATAACTCGATGAAATAAACGATAAATTAATATTCAAAATTCTCGATATCGTACAATCGTATAATACGATTTCGATTTAATTTTTCACTATAATAAAATTTTAAAATTCGAGAATAGCTAATGAAGCGATATTTCTATTCAAGCTATATATTTGTGCAATTCGAATTTTCCATTCTCTTTCCTCTCCTCTCTCCTCTCTCTCTCTCTCTCTCTCTCTCTCTCTCTCTCTCTCTCTCTCTCTCTCTCTCATTCTTCTTTCGAAAGATTCGAATTGATCGAATCGTTCATGATGTTACGTCGAATAGAGGCGATCACGATTCGTGTACATACAAAGAGAAACATTCGCAGTGCGCGTGTCCCAATGAATTCTATATCGAGTTGATCTCGCATGATGGAATACGCAGATTATGCGTATTCGTGCCGACAATCGACCTGAGAGTGTCTATGAAAAAAAAAAAAAAAAATATTTTGAACGAATGAGGCTGGCACTCGTTACAATCTATTCTCCGTTCTCCGTATTTGGAATTCGAACTGTTTCGTGTCATCGAAATGTTCGAATAGAATATTGCAATCGGTTGGAAAATCCTATCGCGTTACGAAAGATAACTGAATGAAAAAATAAATAAATAAATAAATAAAAAAGAAACATAATCTCTTTGGAGACAGAGATACGTAGAGATTCGTAAAAAATATTTTCCATTTTCGTGATGATCGTGATGATCGATTTTCTCGATCGAGAAAAAATAATCTTTCGCCAATAAGATAGAATATATATTCCTCTCAGAGAATCTTATTATTATTATAAGCAACAAAACATCGAAGGAAATTCGATATGTTAGCTTTTCTGAAACTTTTTACCTCTCGCGAATATGCTCGCGAGTCGACACGCATTTTAATCTCTTTGAAACTTCACGGCTTTTCAAAATGTCTTGCGTCCCATAGGACGCACCCGTCTTTATGCAAACTCTCAAGAGATCGCTTAACTGAATAGCCAGCCAGTTAGCTCGAAATTATTCAATTCCGAATCTTTTTCTCGCCTCTTCTTCTTCCTTCCTTCCTTTCTTTCTTTCTTTTTTCTTTTTCAACTGTTTTCGTTCTCGAATCGTCCAGCCGTTTCAGTAAAGTTTTTTAAACGTCCTTTAAGCGACCTTTCAGCGAAACACGTATATAAACGGTCATTGCGTTTCTTTCTTCCTTTCTTTCTCTCTTTCTTTAACCAAGCAACCATATAAAAAGTAATGTTTATTTCGACCGATTCGACTTCGAGAGTTAATCGTTCAGTTTGCGTTGAATAAATATAGCTTTCGCAATCGAGAATATCGTTTACAAAATATTTGCAGAGAGGATGAAAAAGAAAGGAATTGAATTTTGTCGTGTTTCAGGTGGTATAGCGTCATGTATAAGAAATTTTCGAACCGACTTTCTGGAGGAGTGGCCAACTCCCGGCACAGGGCCCCATTTCGACACCTCGATGCAGTCAAACTTCACCGGGTTGGTGGGGAAAACCGTGCATCTAGTGTGCAAAGTGAAAAATCTCGGGAATCGTACGGTGAGTCTTTTCTTATATTTTTTTTTTTTTTTTTTACTTCTCGAAAATTGAGAATATCTTTCTATCTTATACTTATACAAACTTCAAATTAAATAATTGGAAATTATACGAGAGCCGGTCGGAAGAGAATTTTTCGATCGAATTATTTCGAGCTTATTTCACTTCGAATCGATCTGTGTTTCGATCGTTTTTAATTTTAATTAAAAGAGAAAGGAAAAGTTCGAAGGAAAAACAAACAAAGCGCCGTTTCAAAGACACGAGATTGTAACGCGTATAATAATCACGACATTGAAATCGTGATTGAAACAGGCTAAGAAAGCTGCTGTTTGATACACCGCCAACGATGGTCTTAATAGACATACAGGGACCGCGAGCTAATCAACAGCAGTTTGACTTCGGCTTACACCGGACTCCCAGATGGAAGCAATTTCAATGGCGGCCGCGTCTTACCTGACACCCTGGTTCACAGCTCGAAACACGGTTTAAGATGCTTCTCGATTCAATCGTGGAGCACAAAAGCCGCCGTGGTGTACACAAATCCTTTCATTCAAAACTCCTCCTCTCTCTCTCTCCTCTCTCTCTCTCTCTCCTCTCTCTCTCTCCTCTCTCTCTCTC